CTCTCTCATCTTTTTAAGTGGGAGAACTTGCACAATTGGTGGCTGACTAAATAATTTTTTGGCCCACTGTATGACATAGGATTATTAAGCTATTATGAATGTTGTCTGCCAGCCAGTCACTCATGCCAGGCATCAGTAGAAGAGACAGATGTCCAGGGTCATGTGCAGAGTCATATACCCCAGCCCTTCTCTCTGCTGGAGATAGACACATTGAAACAAAGGTACAGAACTCGGCAGAACTCCATTGGAGTCTGTGGACCAAGGCTGGAAAAGGCACAGGAATACCACCAATCCCATAGCCTCTGATTGAAAGGGAAGACCAAGTAATTGCAACCCTATGGGACAGCATTCCCCCCTTCCCCGATGGAAATCTGGATAGCCTCAACCTTGTCAGCCTTTTGCAAGGCTCTGAAATGCTGGCTGTTTTCCTAGGTGTTTGGGCCAGGAGGTTAGGTGAGGTCTGCTCCTGTTGATGTGTGCTCCTGTTGATGTGATGTGGTTGGGGCTTACTGTTTTAACCTTGGGCACCATGGGCTTCACATTGCGGTTTTTGTTTTAATTTCTGTACGCTTTCCAGAGTCACTTTTGTGAGATGAGCACCACATAAATCATTTAAATAAATACATAATTTGTAGCAGGGGAACTTTTGCTTCATGCATCTGCTCTTTCTGTAGAAATAAGTGAAATGTTTAGCCAGGAATTTGCACTAGGCTTAATTTTTTATTTCTATGTTATGCTAAAATCTCATTTTCTAAGTTAAAGCATTAAGCTTTTCAACTTCAGCTCTCCTCCATTCTTCAGGTTGTGTTCATGAAGTTATATTTTTGTAGAATCTTGCCACTTGTAATATTAATTTGAAACCTATCCTTTATCTCCCTGGAGATTCTGGAAGGGAACAGTCACTCAGAGAACGCCACTGTAATCTTGTGGTCTATTTGGAGCATTATATTTTCTTTTGAAATTTCTTTTTTTTAAAAGTGATTTGTAAGAGGTGAATTATGATCTAGGCATCTCTGTAAGTTATATCCTTCAACACTGAATGTTTCAGTTTTAATATTTAAAGTTTAAAAAGTGTATGTGTGTGTGTTTAAAAATAAAGTTTGATTTTGATTATCTCTCATAAGATTGGTCTCTCCCCAAGGGGAGAAATAAGGGGTGAGACTTCTAGACACCACGCCTGTATATGGCCAGGAGGTGGCATTATAACAATGATTTCATTTTCTCTATTTTGATCTTTTAATCACCAAAATTTCTATTACATACCGGGGGTTAGTGGATGAATGCCAAGTGAGGTGTCACCTGGAAGATAGGAGGTAGCAGGAGGATGAACCAAGTTGCTGTCACAAAGCAGGAGGAGGGGCAGGATTTGATGACCCAGAGGGCTTCTGGGAGAGGACAGTGGAAAACTCCAGCTTTCCACCCTATAGGTGCCCATTGTCCAATACACAAACCTTCTTAAGAATTGTCCTTCATTAAGATTTGGGAAGCCCAGCCTTTTCCAGCCTACTGCCTTCCAGATGCATGAGGAATGCTAACTTCAGACTTTCTAGCCAGCATGACTGATTTGTAAAAATTCTCCCATCTGGTGTAATACATTGATCTTCTTACTGGAGCTGAAATAATGCCTCTGTCTCTAGAAAAAAGGAATGTTTTTTGCAGCTTGGGACAGCATCTTATAATTATTACTTTAGTTGGCAAGAACCATGCCCAACAGGGCCGTGGCACTAAGATGTTGCCTAAGTAAGTGTAATTAAAATTTTTGATCTCCTCTCCTCTCCTCTCCTCTCCTCTCCTCTCCTCTCCCCCCCAGATTTGAAGGCTTTTAAAATGTGTTTTATAGGTGCAATAATTCTACTAGAGGCTTCACACTTGAAATCAATTAAATAATTTTCTACTGAAAATCAGGAAATGATGTACCATTATTCAGCTGTTTGCCTTCACATTTCAAGAGTGTGATCTTGGCTGTAAAAAGTGGCTGAGCCCCATATGCAACAGGTAACTGCCATATATACTTACAGATAAGCCGAGAACTTTAGGTGCCAAAATACCCCCGCCCCGCCGAATTTGGTATGGCTTATCCAGAGATGGGCTTATCCACAAGTATATACAGTAATAATTTTTTAAAGGACCCATGTATCCTGTATATAGTTTATATAGTTATAAACCCATCCCCAGATAAGCTGACCCTTGAATTTTTAACCAAAATATCATGAAAAATGTGCTGCCTGCGGATAAGCCAATTGTGAAAATTAAAACATACAAAGATTTCAAGGGCCAGGTTATCTGCAGGTGACACATTTTTGATGGTATTTTGGTTAAAGATTCGAGAGTCAGCTTATCCGGGGATGGGTTTATATGCAAGTATATACGGCAGTGTTTCTCAACCTTGGCAATTTTAAGACGTGGACTTCACCTCCCAGAATTCCCCAGCCAGCTTAAAGTTGCCAAGGTTGAGAAACACTGATATACGATATTGTCGGAGTGCTTCTTTGGCTTGAGTTGCTGATTCCAGTGCATATTGTTGTAAATGTTTAAAAGTTGTGCTCTTGTGTTGCTGCTTCATAGGGCGATTGTCGTTCTTATAGCTACGTATGTGGAATCTCCAGTAAAGTTGCTCCACCTTGGGAGTCCCTTATGTTCCTAGCCAGACTCATACCACGGATGTGCCACAACATAAACCGGTAATATGTCCATCGATACATAGATCTTTAATAGTTTGTAAACTAGCTGCTGTTCAGTAGTTCACTATGTGTCACTGGGAGAAAAAAAATCAATTTACAGTATATGTAAGAAACAGAGAAAAATACTGGAAAAATATTTTACTTTTCTCATGAACCTTTTAAAATACTGGTAACAAGAAGAGTTAAAAGCCCAGTTACAACATAATCCACACTGCTTTTGTTTTTTGTTGTTTTGCTAATTCGTCAAGGGAATTATCCAGTCTTGTTGATGCTTGACTGCATCATGGTAATTTTGTGTTTTATAGGTATTGGTCATGTAAACCATTAATAATGAAGAAGTATTATTTTTACATTTTACAATATAAATGCATCACTTCTGGTATGCAAAAAACTAAGCAAGACTAATCCTGTGAACTGGAGACATGACTGTTTTTCTGGTAGAGGCTTTAAAGCGAGACAAGAAAGGAACATAAATGACTTGCTTTCTGAAAGCAAGTTTGGATTTTCAAAATGGGATACAAAAATAAATGGGCTTATATTGAAAATATGTCTCTTTGATTTACTGGGGCTGCAGTCAAGCTTTGCATGATTAAAGGTTTGGAACTACCTGTAATCTTAATCAAAGATACAGTAACTTTTAGATGCGTTGTTGAACAAAGATATATTTAGCCAATTCTATGCATTATTGACTAATATAGGGATAGACAACATAATACCAGCAGGTATCACCATTTCCTTAGATGCTTCATTCGGTACCCTGTGCTCAGCAGTTTCCCTGTTCCATCTGGCTTTTTAAAAATATTTTAATTTAAAATGCATTCAAACACCCAAAGACTGTCTGTCTGCCTATTGATCTGGCATACTTTAAAGCAGATCACCAACTTCTGGCCATCAGATTTATTTGCAGGAATGTCTTTGGCCTGCAGAAATTCACAAATCTGTGAACAGGCAGATTTCCCATATCAGCCATTTTGAGACTGTGTCCCACGCATATTCACAAAAATCCAAATGTACCCCCATCCCCAAAAGGTTGCCTACCCCTGAAAAATACAGAGAGCACTCCTTCTGATGGATTTTCCTTCCTTCTTCTTAGGGTTGTCTATGTATTTGGCCCACCAGTCAAAGAACCTCCCACTGACGTTACTCCCACTTTCCTGACGACAGGAGTTCTCAGCACATTGCGGCAGGCTGATTTCGAGGCTCATAATATTCTCAGGGAATCTGGTTAGTGTGTGGCTTTCTTTAGTGTGGTACTCTGCATTTGCACCATCTGTCCCAGCAAATATTTTTTGCAAGCTTAGTAGAATAGAGTGTGTAATTCATTCTTTATTGTTGTAAACTGCCTTGAGTATTGGAATAGACGATAATAAAGACGTTAGTATTTGTTTTGCAGGGTGTTAGAATTTAAAAAGTTGATTTTCTTGAGATGTTGCTGTTTTCTCCATTTTATAAGAGAAAATATTATATTGCTATAGAAAGGAAATGAGATTAAAGTTCTAAAGAGGACTACACTTGGTATACAATGCACACATCTCTAAATAAGTGCAAATTCTATGTTACAGTTTCCTATCCTGGTCCTCTCCAGTTACGGAAGGATTACATCTCTCAGAATTTCCAACCTATGTTGCTCAGTTCTTAGAGTTGCAATCCCAACACATCCAAATGGCACCTGTTTGAAGAAATCTTATTTTAATTCAGAGTTTGGAGCACAATATCTCTTGCTGACTTTTATTATTCTATCTGTATCCCACACTTCCTTCAAGGCATTAGCAATAGCAGAAAAACTCCCTCCTGTTATATCCTCACAACAAGTCTGAGATGCAACTGTGGCTTGGATAGGGACCAACATAGGTCATTCAGTAAGATTCACAACTGAATGGGGATTTAGCTTATGTTGCCTTACTTGGAGATCAAACACTCAAATAATTTGAACAGGGTGGGCAACCTCTTATAAGTGCATCTAGAACTTACCCTAATTTGGAAAGCACATACAGGATCTCTGGTAAGAGACATTTGTTCCTCCTCTGTCACCATTATAAGAGAGAAAAATGGATAGGAAGACAGAAAAAGGAATCTCAGTGAAAAAATGGGTATTCCATTACTCCTTCCTTAAGCTTGCTTTCCATATTTACCCCATTATCTCTGCCTCATAGTATGTTATTCTGTAAGCCACTATAATCGAATCTGTTGGATCACACCCAACTCCTGATGACTTCACAGAAAGATCGATGTAGTGTTCTCAGCAACAGTATTTGCCATTGTTATCTTCTAGGCAGTTATTTCATTTCATTTCCCAATCTAGCCTACAAATCTGGGATTTTCTGGTGGATTCACATCCAAGTACCAATTAGTTCCAGATCAGCCCAAATCAGCTAAGTGTTGCCATCTAGCCAGTACAGTACTTTCTTGATTTTTGTTCCTTTATTCAAGGTTATTCTGGAAAAATCAGCCAGATGCCAGTCATCTTAACACCATTGCATTTTGATCGAGATCCCCTGCAGAAACAACCATCCTGTCAAAGATCAGTGGTTATTCGAACTTTCATTACAAGTGATTTCATGACTGGCATTGCAGCAACTCCTGGCAATGAGATACCAGAAGAGGTAAATGTCATTTAGAAAATTAAAGTTGACTTTGTTTTCTTTGTTCGTATAGAAAGTATCTTATTCCTTTGTTACAAATGTATACCAATACATATTATTTTAACATTGAAATAAATGTTATAGAATGCAGTAGAATAAAGCCTGTGTGGCTTGGGTATATTTGACTGCCTAATTTTAATTGCTAAAACTATTTGTTTTTTTAACAAAAATGTTAGCTCCTTTAAATATGTCAGTCTGCCTATGGAAACACATTGCTATATGGAGATGTGGTCTAAAGGCTGTGAACACTCTGGCTTTTTTAGATTTCAAAATCAGAATCCCTTAGCAAGTGCTTGATTTCACTGAAGATTATGGGAATTGAACTAAATGAGAGAGAGAGAGAGAATATATTTATTTTATTTATCATATTTATATAGCTGCCCATCTCACACAACGTGACTCTTATATCTATAGGACATCACACTGAGGAAAAATGTCATACTATTTTTATTGTTACTACTCTTTATCTGCAGCCTAACTTCATCAAAGATGATTGATGGAGGCTAGTTAGGAGGCTACAATTAAATTAAAAGGGTTAAGATTTCTTTGAGTCAAGCTCAACTCCTGGTGCTTAAGTGAACAAGTGTATACAATTTTCTTGCCAACAGTATTGAAGTGATTTGTCATTGCATTCTGGGGGTCTTCTTTGCAGATACTAACCGGGTCTGACTCTACTTAGTTTTTTCCCAACCAGCCAAGATCAGTTGCTGCTAGGAATAAATAGCAAGTAACAATTGCTAAAAGTTGCATGGAGGTGTGTGGTCTGTGGCAGCAGTTCTTTATATCAGGGCTTAATAGTAATTCTGGGTGCCATTTTCAAAGCTGGTAACGTCCCCCGCCACCACCACCACCCCCTTATTTGTTTTGGTTATATAATCTTATAACTGGAGCTGAGAAATGCAGAGAAATTAGTAGCTGGCATTAGCAAATAATTTCCTGTGAGACCAAAAATCTCACAGGAAAGAAAGGCCATACTTAGATACCGGTTTTTCTTCTGCAAACCATTTGCCTTTTTGCAAATTAAAACATTAAAAAGGAAAAACTGGGCATCTTGGCTCCTTCCACTCTGTTCTGGGAGATGAAGCAGAACATTTGAATCAATTTATTTCATACTAATCTGCCTTCCTAGGTTGTCTTCCTCTTCTCTCTCCCATCCCTTCTTCCAAATGGGGACACTGGCATTTATGTCCTTGACGTCTCTTTCTTGCCGGCTGTTTTTAAACATAGGTTGTGTTGAAGATGGTGACAGAGATTAAGAAGATTCCTGGCATCTCCCGGGTGATGTATGACTTGACTTCAAAACCCCCAGGAACGACTGAATGGGAGTAATTATTTCCCTCCCTCCATGAAAGTACTGTATGCAGTTTTAAATTATATCAGAAACCATTCCCAGTGTTGACATGCAGTACTGTGAAAAGAGTGACTGGAGCGGCTGCTACATCCCATGTGATTACTGTTTTTTCTCCTGGAACATAATCTGCAAATTAAGAGTGCTGATGAGGGTGGGCGGGGAGTCAGCTAAGTGGGGCTGAGGACACGTACGGGTAAATAATTTACGGCAGCATTGCCTATGTGCAGACAGAAACATATTGCTTTGCCTTTTTGTCTTACAGACTCTTCCTGGTTTTTGTGTTTTTACTGTTAAATGTCATTTCAATGTCTCTTTTTTTTTTTTGTATACTGTGTAAAAAGAGACAGTTTATTTACATTCACCAACCCCATTGTTAGAGCTATTAATAATGTAAAATGAAAAAAAGTGACCAACTGCTTTTGAAACAGATTTATTATAAATAAATATTTTGCCAAATGGAGTAGTGAGCATTGTTGAATTGTAGAGTAATGTATATTTATTTTCTGTATATTGTAGTACCTGTTCCATATCATTTGGAGTATTAAGCTCATGGCAATAAGTGTTGGTGTATTCAAGAACTGTATCCAAAAGGACTATATTCTACCCCCCACCCTGATCCCCCACTTTTTAATTCTTTCAAAACAAATAACTTTTTAAGGATGTTAAATCATATGTCTTCCCACACTCTATAGCTACTATCTATATTTAATGTACATTAAATCAGTTACAAGAGAAACAAACATGAATTATATATATAGTTGAAAACTCACCGCTTGGAAAAAAGAATCAGAGTAACAATTCTCACAGCAGCCATCAAAATTGCTGTGCTGTGCTCTTGTTTTCTTTTCTTTTTTGAACTTTAATTTTAGTCAGATCTTTTAGCTTTCTGTTTTATGTGAGGCTTCTTAATAAAGGCAAGGAAATGCTGCATTTAAAAAAAAAACTTTTTCCAAGCTGTGTTTAAATATTATGTTTATTTCTGTGTGATTGGTATTAGAGCCAGCTTGGTAAACTTGAGAACAAATGAGTTGTTTTTATTAACACCACTCATTGAATAAGCTACCGTTAAGTTAGAAAGGTGAATATAATTACCTTTTTCCTCCAATTTATTGAGCCTGAATCAAACTTTCTTTAATACATTGTTTGTGAAACTAGAATGGAGGAAATACCAGTTACTATGAGCTGACTCTTCTACACGTGCCATAGCTTTTGTTACTCATTCTGAATACCTCCCAGTGCATTGTAAATCAATGCAAACTAAGATTTTGCTTTGTACACAAATATTAAATGGCCCAGTATAGTCATATTAATAAGTAGGATACCAACAACTATCTGCCATATAATGGCTGTTTGGAAATGCATTGCATTAACTGGAACCTTATGGGAGAGATGATGAAATAGCTGCTTTTCTTTAATTCCAAATTTGATGGCAAAACATATCATTCAGCATTTCATTCAAGATGCAGATCTATCCTTGTATCAGTAACAAAGTTGTAGCTGAATTAGAGGCCTAAATCAATGTGTGTGGTTGGATAGTCCCTGCTGGGAGCATGGCGCACTGTCTGCCTAAAACTATGCAGAAGGAGAAAATAGGATTGAAAGAATGATACTGGCCACACATCCGCAATGACCTATCAGTATATTCTAGTAGATTTGATTAAACCGGAGGGTTCCCTTGCTGTACCAGCTATCTTGCTGTGCCACGTAATTATTTGCAATCTTTTCAAGATTGTTCCCATGGAGATCTTGCAGCGATGGTACCAAGGATAGGAGCGGTGTCCACTTGAACCAACCCATGATGACCAATCTTCATACCTACCTACAATCCATGATCTGGATCCAAACTATCCTCTAGGAAAAGTTTTAAGTAAATGTTACGACTGTAGCATCTTTTGAGAAGTAGCAGCTTTGATCCCTGGCTTGGGTGGGGAACAGGAATTAAGAAAATGATTAAGGAAATGCTTCCTAGTCATTCAAGTTCATAGCACTGGGATACTTCTGCATCTATTTGTGTGCCTGTATAGTTGAGGCTATGACAGTAGCAAAATTGTGGCTATTTTGAATGTTTGTTTGAAGCTGGTTTAATATTCAGTCTTATTGTAATTAAGGTATAGCCTGGGAAAAAGAGGTATAGTTAACAATCAGAAGAGTCAGAAGTTTGACTTAGTTGGAGTTCAAATATTTCCATTTTCATATTCACTTACTGTAGATGCACATATTGTCAAATTCTATGGCTTTTAGATTAGTAAAATTTGTTAGGTTTTGTTTTCTCAAGATAATAACAGTGTACTTATTTTTAAATTGGATCCATGAATAAAATGGAGTTTGGAAACCTTTATAAGGATTATTATGCTAGAGACAGAAATGAACACATATAAAGTGCATTGCAGTATAAGTAAATTGTTTAAATGAAGACATCGGTGTTGTACAGAAAGGGGACTCTTTGTGCATGACTAGTGTAGTACAGAAGAGGATTTCTTTCTCTTAAACCCACACTGATTCAGTTTAGGAGGGCAGTGGAATGTGGAGTACACTTAAATGGCCAGGCTTCTAGTTCTTGAATGTATTTCATAGTACTGATTCCCGTAATCTCAACCAGATGCAGAAAACAGGCTTGTTGTGGTCCAGGAGGGAATGGGTAATATGTAGCCTATGAATGCAGATGCCCTTGTTAGATCTGTTTGCCCTCTAGTCTCCAGTAAGACATGTCAACTGTTTTCAAAGACAATTGTATAGGGAATAATTCCTAGAGCTCTCAGTTAAAAAAAAAAAAAAAAAAATCTGTAAATGATAACAGTACTGTCAGCCTTAATTTTTATCCTCAAATAAAAGTGAACCCATTTGGATACTTCTGTGATTTATTTTATTTCATCATTCTTTCTGATCCATTCTTTTTTTTCCTGGTGTTCCTTCATTCTAAATCAGGTTTTGGACATACTGGCTAGGAAAGTTGTAGTTCCAGCCTATTTGAAAGAAAGGGGTCATCTAAAGAAGGTACTGAGAACCTCTTAATGGGGTGGAGGCATTAGTATAGCTTGCAAGGCTCTCCTGTTCAACCCATGGGTGTTTGAGTTGGTGCCATCCTCTCAAAGCTCCTCTGTTCCTTTCATGCCTCATTCTCATTTGAGAAGCAAAGGCAGAATGTGGAGAAATGGACAGAAGCTGGTCCTGCTGGTAGGATCAGTATAGTCAAAGGTAACGAAGAGGAAAGTTTTTACATATTGAAATGCTGGAATGTCTTAAGCCAAACCCAAGGATCATGTTAATCGGTGGTGTAATTTAGTAAGGACTGGTCCATTGTTACAGTTGGACTGGAAATACAAGTAATCATCCATGCTGCTTGATGAGATTTGCTTTGGAATTACTACCAGAGAGTAGTTTTATTTATCTCATTTGATTTATTGAAATTATCTCAAAGACAAAAAAAAAAGCCCACCACGTGGAAAAGCAAACTGAGGAATTAGAAAATTATAAATATGGTGGGAAAGATTACAAATAATTGACCTTCTAGTGTAATGGCCTGTGAGACTAACCTTAAGAGATGGGGAAGAGCCTCAGCCTAGACAACAGTCTGATAAGAGAAATCTGATTCCAAAGGAGGGGTGGGGGTAGAGACAAGCTCTCAGAAGGACCTTCCCTAGTTCTCTGGAAAGTAAAGGCAGGGGAGGGGGAAGCGCTTTCAGATTTGCAAGATGGTTGTCAACCCCTTGAAGTAGTCCAAACCAGGAAACCAAAGTCATGAATGCTAATATCACTTTTACTGTAAGGTTACAATAACAAAATCTTGCAATGGGTTTATTCAGGAAACCCCCACTAAATAAATGCAGCATGAACCCAGACAATATTGCTTTGTAAGTGCAAACTTCCAGTATTGCTTGAGTCCTGTCATGTGTATTATCCAATAATACCAAAGAATTTAATGATCACTACATCAGTTCTGGATCATATACTGTAATTGATCCTTAACTGAAAAATGTCCTTAAAAACACAAGCTGCTTGCACATAAATTCACTGAGGATAATGTCTGGCAAGATAGTCCTGTTGTCATGAGGCTAAGCCTGTCGTAACTTGTATGATGCTTTAAAGTAATTAAATCTATGCCATGACGAGAGATGGTTAGCTTTCCTTCTGGTTCATTATTTCAAAGAATAATCTGGAACATTGAATTAGGATGTCAACTGAACTGCTGACTTAGAGCATGAAATATCTTACAGTAATTTTTGGAGTCATTCTGAATTTCACATAAATTATAGTTTTGGTTTTTGGTTTGATTCATGAACCTCATCTTTGAAACGGTCACTTTTAGGCTCTTAATCACTTCCAAATTCATTCTACACAATTTTCTATAGATTGGCTTCATTCTGTCACTCCACACTGTGGTGAAGAATCCAAGTCTTAAGTAGGCTAATACAGATAAAAGGCTACATTTTTTGTGCCTCTTTTTGGATGAATATTGACTCTCCCTGAAGCAGAATTAGGAGACTGAAGTTTCTTCAGCTATGAAGTTTCTTTTTCTTTCTTTGTTTTACCTATAACTTTACCCTGCTATTGGGCCCAGCTATTTGAGGAAGAAACTGTGTGGCTGTATTTATAGTCTTAAGACCCTAATTCTAGTTCTATTAATTAATCTATTATTTAATGCTTTATAAGAACCTAGCAGCAACAGCATCCTTTCTCATTTTTTGTAGAAGTGGAACAAATAAAATTAATAATGGCATTTTGCAGAGTTAAAGCTAACTAGCATGCATGGTTCTTTTCCACACACACATACAATCGTTCTCATGATGAATAAAGAACGGCTCAGCTCCTGTATTAGTTCTCCCCCAGCAGACTACAACCTTCTTTAAAAATAAGGGTGAGGAAACTGCAGCTGTTCAAATGTTGCAGAGAGTGCTAGGACATCAATCACAATGGCAAGTGCCCCCCCCCTTTTTTTAGGAAGAATGTAGTTAATATACTAGCTGAGGCTTGGAGAATGCTAAAAAGAAACCTAGTCCCCATTCTCCTCCTGGATATATAAGATGATAACTGGACAGAGGGCTACTACAATGTCTGTGTTTGGGGGCATCTGGGGAAATGTCAAAAAAGTCAAGATGGCAGCCACCCCTGGGTGGTCAAAGCCCTGCCCTTTTTTGACATGCATTACATGTACAACACTTTTGAACAATGGGCAGGTTTTTATCACCCAGTCTTGCCTTTTTCTGACACTCCTGTAGATGCCTTTGGCCATGTTCACAATATACACATAACTGTCATTGGTGCCCCTACATGGTGCAGCAGTGCTTTTTCTGCATAGGATCATTCCCCACCTTGCCCCCCCAAATTCCCAAAGTACACCACTAGTTGTTGGGTAACTCATCTCAGTCTTACAAAGCCATAAGAGATGGTTAATTTCAGCGTAATCCTTCCTTCTCACTTCTGGTTATAGATACGTTGAGATGACTGGCTAAACAGGCCAGCAAAATGGAGGGAGGGCTAAATGACTCAGCTAGTAAACTCATCTGTTTCTCCTCATGCACAGAACTTATATATTGTAAAAAAAAAAAATAGGATTATAGCTAACCCTAAAGGATACTAAGGTCTGACTCACATATTACATAAAGCTATGGATTGTTTAATTGTGACTAACTGGATAAGCCTGGATTCATGCAACATGCTAAGTTAAAATTAGCCGTATTATGACTCTGTTTTGGGTGAACCGGTTGTCAAACTAGAATCATATACTGTGCTCATTCATATGTAGCTTAACTAAAAAGCTTATTAAACAGGTCAAGATGAGCGGATTCAGACATTAGGTTAAGGCAAAAGCAATCACATTATGCTTTAAGATGATAAGTGAAATGAAGCTTTGAAAAATGGAATCACAATCAGCTGGGCAGATGATCAACCACACTGACCCCATGTTTTAATTCTGAATCCTAACTGAAGCAGATGTCAATAATTGGTATCATTTAGGAGTTGTGTCCAAGATTACTCTATCAAAGCTCAGATTAAAAAGTGAGAAGCTAGGAAGTAAGATATGGCTTCATAATCTGTAGAGGACTAGGTATTGATTCTTTAAAGATATACAGGGCTCCCCGGAGCGACTGTAATGGCATAATCAATTTCTCCTTCCTGCAGCTTTAGATGCTTGTACTAAAGCTCAATCTATTATCCCCTTTTGTTGAAGTTAATAATTATGTTACTGGCAGATTAAAACTGTTCAGTGACGAAGCTTTCTAATGCAACCAAAGCAGTATGCCTGCTGTAGTCCTTAATAAGTCCTTATTAAATAATCTCCTGGTGCCAGGAAACATGTCATAAAATGCTACATAATATCTCTAAGTTCTCTGGAGTAAAAGAAGCTGTATAATTGCATATACTTGTTTTCAAAAGCAAACTAAATTCAGCTGACTTAGAGAAAACTGTAACCCAGAGACCCATGAGTTCCATTCAGAGTTTTTGCAGAAAGGTGCTAATGTTGAGCATATCTCTGCTCGACTGTACAATATATTTTACATTACTTTATGTTCTTGATGGGGATAGAAATGGAGGTCATTTTGGACCCTGAAGCCAAATACAATAAGGGACAAGTGATCTGAACTTGACCAGAGGCTACGGCAGACAAATATTACTTACCCTCAGTTTTAAGAACACAAACAAAGGAACCACAAAAAAGCTTTATCCATTCTACTGGAAAAGTAAGATGGTGTTCATTAAAATATATAATGGGTCAACCCATGAGACTCCTGTTTAAAAAGGACAAGAGAGCAATCTTGACTCTTCTGCTGTTTGCTCAATTGTCATCCGGAGGTGTTTTATGAAGTTGACCCTTTGTATTTTGTTTACATTGATGTTATTTCCCCATTTATCCAACAGTCTCTATAAATTTCCTAATCTTTGTGCCAATCAGAATAATCTAATGCTATCCATGCTGGTGCCCAAATCAGTGTCCTCAACTTTACTGACTTCTACTCGAAGAAATGTCCAATCCAAGATTTTAAAATAAGGGACTCTAAAAGAGATAGTTAAGGGCTTTGAAATAGCTTATTGACAGTTAAGATTTGCATAGTGGGCTGAGTAGGTCTACACTTTGACTTTGTTACTGTCTGCTAAGTGACTAACAGTGACTTTGTTACTGTCCGCTAAGCACAGCAAACAATAGATTAGCATCCACAAATTGCATACATATCTCTTTCCTCTTTGGCAATGTGTAAGTAGCCAATATATTAGATATCATTATTCATCCCATTTTTAAAATGCTTCTGAGTAAGTTATTCTTGAAGGTAAATCTCTTTGTTCCCTGCCATTTTGCCATTGTGAAAATGCATTCTTCGTTCCTATGCTAATTTGCAATTTATGAATTCACAAGAGGATCTATTCACTCAGCTCTATAGACAAAGAATTATATTCACATGTGTCAAAGACCTGTGATACAGTCCTTCCTAGACTGTAGCATTTCCAGCGTGGGTCATGAGAGACAAAGAATGGCTTTGCTGTTTGAATATACAGTGGGGCAAAAAAGTATTTAGTCAGCCACCAATTGTGCAAGTTCTCCCAC